AAATAGGAAATCAACAAACAGCAAAGCAGCAGAAAAATGCCTTTAGGCATGTCCCTGCCTTGGTGAAGATGTCTTAAAGTCCAAACTAGTCATTAGAATGAGGAAGAAAGGGATTTAAGTTTCTAAACTTTTTTCGATCTTACAGAAACTGGACAAAAAAATAAATAAAAAATCCAGCGTGCAGGAATCGTGTGGATGAAGGCGCCTTGTTGAGCTGCCCAGTAAGAGAAAATGAGCTAATCACTTGTAAACAAGGTAAACAAAATACCCTTTCTGAATGCACAACACATTAAGTCTTAATGAAAATCGGCTGCAGCACAATGGGTGATATTGCTGCCGGCTGAGAACTGGAAACTACTCAGAATTTGGCATAAATAACATTGAAGCACAACAACTGGCTGGACGGGACAACGTCAGTCCAGCCATGTTTGAATTTTAAGATATAAGTAATTAGACGACCAAACTCAACTTTTCATGTATCCTCAGGTTTGAAAAAAAAAAAAACAGAAAAAGAAAACAGATATGACAAGTAAAGCGCTGCATATGACTCTAATGTTTTGACTACACCAAATGTGATTCCTTGTCTGGCCGATGTTGATCCGCAGCCTGTTTTTGGAACGCTCCCTCTAATCAGACGACATGTCGGTACAGTAATCATCATAATAATGACTACACCTGTAAGTGCTTAGACAGATCTGTGCCAGTTCAAAAACATAGTTTGGATTGTTCCAATGGGAGACAAGAAGAAGTTCAAGAAGAGTTCCCCCCCCCCCCCCCAAAAGAAACGAAGATGTACCAAGAAGCCACACATTCTTAAGACAAACGATCGATATGTGAGCTGAGGAGACGTCTGATGAGATGCTCACTCTACCTGTCGGTGCAGTTTCTTGGCATTTGATTTCTGTCTTGTTTTAAGGAACAGGATGTGTCAGCAGTGTCTCTCTGAGGTGATGCACCCTGACAGAAACCAGTTCCCCAATGGCTGGATTTGGAGCACAGAAACTGAAAGCTCATGCAGCAGACCAGGCATTTTCACAAAGAACCTGCTAAAATCAATCAAACCTTGGACTCAACAAGTCTCTGAGCTGAACAAGATAAGGAACACATGCGAGTCATTCAGACTCACAAGTTTCATGCAAAACTCCACAACTCTCTTTTGCCTGCTTGCAAAGTGAAAACTTTAATTACTACGCTTGCCCTTCGTATTGCAGACCACATAGCGACACACACGCCCTCCATAGCCAGTGACCTACATTGGGGCTAATTGCAAGTCCTGTTTATTACATATGCACACACTCGGGCCAACAGCAAAGCTCTGAAAGCTCAAAAGATCTGCGTCCTGGGAGTCAGGCCAGACCCCCCACCACCACCACATCACCATGGGGACGCCCATCCACTGCGGAGCGAGAATGGACGTCAGGGATCATCTATGTGGAAAACCCAGATTTCAGACATCTTTGGTTTTGAGTGCAGGAATTTAGCCAGATTGCTTAATCAAACCGAGACGTGCGAGGCCTCTGTCCCTAAAATCAACAAACTGCACTGGCGTGATCAGAAGCATACAAAAACTGACAGGGCAAACTGACGAACACAGGCTGGACTGATGAACCAACCGGAGCGCAGCTTTGCTTTGCAACAGGTGCAAAACGCAGACAGACGCGAAACTCACCCGAGCGAGAGACTTCGACGCTTTCTCTCGGTAGAAATCGAATCCAATGAGTGAAAAAAACAAAACAAAACAAAACAAGTGAGTCAGATTCGCTGTGTTAGTCGGTGTTCGTACTTGTTCCAGTGTCGCCCTGCAGGAGTTTGATCGTTTAATTCCCAGGATCGGCGGGGTTGTTGCTGTGGTGGTGGTGGGTGGGGGAGGCAGGTACAGCAGCAGCTGGAGGTCTGGGAGTGGCTCTCACCTTCTGGACTTAACCCTTTCCCTTCCCTTCCCTCGCCGAGCTCACTCGACCTGTTTGGAACCGGTTCCTGCTCGGCCGCCACTCCCGCTTCGCTCCTCAGATCCGCAGGAAAGTCCAATCAAAGCGCGTCCTGCTGCCGCGCACCGTGATGCTGGCGGCTCCTCACGGAAACGGTGGCAGAAGACAGAGCGAACCTGAACCTGAACCTGCTGCCTCTACCACGGGATTTCAGGAACATCCCCTCTTCACCCCCCACTTTAAACTTGTGAGCCATTCATATGCAAATGAGCTGGCACTGAAAACAAAACCCAACTGCAAGAGATGGTCCAGCACCTAAATCTGACCACATCAAGATTCGGATCATTCTTACATTAGAGAACGCACTAGAGCCTGAAAAATAACTATCTAAAACTTTTTCTTGTTTTTTTCCTTTTCTTTTTTTTTTCTATCTCACTAGATATATATTGTGTGTGTAGGCTCCATGTGTATGGATGGAAACTGGGCTCATGGTCTCGGTAAGGGATCCACTTTTTACGTCATTGAGTTACATTGTTATTGTTTTTTTTGTTTTGTTTTTTAATGGGGGACGCATAACATCACAAATTTCTGACTGAACCATTAAAAAATTAAGATTTGGTTTCATTTATTATTGTGCAATTAAAAAATTACATTTACTTTTTTTTAATGATTATTATTTATTTAAAAAAAACAAAACTTCAACCGAGAATACTTTCAACAAAGAACATCCTCGTGTTGGTCCAGTCAAAGCCCAGACCTAAATCAAATTGAGAATCCGTGGTTAACAGCAGAAAACCATCACAGATGCTCTCAAATCCAAACCCAGACTCCTCTCTGCAAAGAGGAACTGGCAAAAGGTTCGACGTGCAAAGCTGATGACAACAGACCTCCCCAAAATCTGCAGCTGCATCTGCAGTGGAAGATGGTTCTGGTAGTAAAAATAAATACACACGATCAAAACTCTGCAACTGTTTAGCTGTTCCGCTTTACAGTTACACACTGCTTTGTGTTAAAATCCAAATAAAATGCACGACTGAAGATAAATGTTGCAATGAGGAAAAGTGTGAAAAGTTACAAGTAGCCTTTATTAATGCTTTTGCCAGCCACTCTGTGAGCAGGACCTGGTGCTGATGGACAGTCACATTATTAGTCACCTCATTTTCTGACACTAGTATTGGCAAAGAAATGGAGTCATGTAGTCAAGATACGCCATGTGCCTGTCTCAAGAGATAACGATTAATTCTACATTTACTGCAAACTTTGGTTTGTTTCCATAAGACAAACTATGTTTGTAAAATAGGTATTGATGCAATATGACAGCTTGTAACGCATTACGTTACCCCAAAAGAGTCTCAGTAATTGAAATAAATTTGAATTACTTTTAGCATTACTTTAAAAAAACAAAACAGGCACCAAATCATTTTTAAATGACATTTTTCCATATGTGCTCAAGAAAATTCCCTTCAACTCGTGCAACTGTTGACAAAGTCACTTTCTTTCCCCCTAAGAGACGAGAGAGCAAACCAAATAAATCGACTGCTCGTATTAATAGTGAATTTATCAGAGTCCCAATTATGAAATAGTGAAACTGAGACTTGGATGCCACTGAGTTCTGTTTCTGCTTCTCGGAGCAGGAAGTGAAATGATGTGGGGGTTAAATAAAATGTCGAAGTGGGATGAAATTTCAGCTGTGTTTCTTTTTCAGGCTGCGGTGGACAGCGTGTTGTTTTGGACTGATAATAGTTATCAGGCGTCTATGAGAATTTCCATTTGTTGGTATTTTTTGTTGGGTAGTTTCCGCTTGGTTGCAAAATGTCTCCGTGAACGCCGTGATTTCATATCCCCATTTGAAGATGCAAAATGTAGAATTTATGTATTCTACTTTTGAAAAAAATAAAATAAAAATTCTGCATGAATATTCTGATTCTGCCAGTTCTATACCCAGAAGTTTTAGGTGCACAAATCAAAGATGCTTCATTCAAACATTGTATTACGTTCGCTTGAATCGAAGTCATAACTTTTATTTAAATTACTGGACTTTTCTTGTCATTTGAAGCCTTTACTCTGGTCGTCTAGACGTATTTCAACCAGTAAGTTGTCTAACATCTGCAGGAACAGGATGGATCCTTCTTTACCTCCACAATTAAAGCAGCTTCTGCTGCCGCTTTGCAGATCATTCACAGACTTTGGGCTTTTCCACATCGTGTCCTTATTTTACAGTCACAAAGGTTGAAAATACTTTACTGTGATTTTATATGACAAACCAACACAGAGCGGATGCATGTTTTCAAATCAAAATCAGGTATGCACGCAAATAAAATGTACATGGCACACATTCCAGACTCCTAATTTGTAGAAATAAATTAATGAATTAAAAAAAAAAAGAAGAGAAAACCATGTGTTGTTTTCCTTCCTCGTGTTTTGTGTTGGTCTGTCATAAAACCCTAATAAAAGTTATTGCAGGTTGAGAGCAGAATGTGACAAAAAGGCAGGAAAGTTCAAGGGGGAAGATTATTTACTTGCACATACAAGTCCTGAGACTTTCCCCTCTGAAAGGAACTCACTTAATAATTTCCAGAAGCCAGAGGAAATAAAACTAGCTGGTGTTTCGATTTCCCCCTGCAAATAATATACAATGAAATGCAACTAATTATGAGGCGTTTTTGTTTCTTATGGTAATTTATGTGAAGCTTTTGGGATCGGCAGCCTCCGCATCAATTAGAAATAAATGTCGTTAAAATGCAGACTACTTAAACAACCTCTGTAGGAGTTGCAGTGTTTATAAGATTTACTAAAACAAAGCAATGCTTTAAGTTTGTTAAAATACACACTTAAGGGTCAACCATGAATAAGATGATTCCAAAAACATTTTAGATGAGCGGGGTTTTTTTTCTGTCTGTTTTTCTTTCTGAACTTTCTTCAAATAGAAACAATGTGACAGTCCCCAAACATTGACAAGTAAAATTGCGCCATCTGGTGGCTGTACAGTTGAACCTTTTTTTTAAAAAAATCTCTTCCTGCCAAAAATGATGTTTCAAAACAATCAGAGTCATAATTGTGTAAAAGCTTTACCTGCTCTGTTGTGACAGAAACCTGTTCGGCTGTCGGGTCAGAACTTTGGTGCCGCGGCGCTGATTCTTCGGTCCCTGCGAGATCAGGAGGCTCAGGAAAGCAGTCACAGTCAGTCACGCTTATCTCTGGAGTCATGTTACAGAAGTCCGGTGGAGGTAAAGGAAAATCCATTTCATATATATTTTGTGGAGGTACATCCACATCTTTATCATTCGTAGAAACCACAGACTTCTTTTTGGACTTGTCCTGGTTTGTGTTTTTTGCCTGCTGCTTTTTATCTCCATGGTGAGGTGTGGCATAAAGTTGTTGATCTTCAGATATCAACGCTTCTGGAGTGACTGATGCGCGGCGTGACGCATTCGGAGTCGTGAGCTTATTTTTATCGTCTAAGCTGTGAGCACGGTTCCTGGCTGCTGGCGCATCTTTCGAAGTTTCACTCGGCAAGTTGACCCACAGACCAAACGTGGAGAAGCGATAGGTTTCTTTCGAATCGTCCCGAACAGATGGAGGAGTTTTTGTATGAAGTGATGTTTTCTTGTTCTTCCCAGTCACAGCCGCTGGCTGACGTTTCGCCGAACTCTTTGGTGAGTCGTTTTCTTTAGGGCCAGAAGAGGCTCCGGGAGGCGCAGAGACCTCCTTCACGTACTCAGCTGGGATGTAGAAGGGTTTGGAGTCTCGGTCTTTGGAAACGTGCCACCAATGATCGTTGGTCTTGGAGACGAGGATGTACCTCTCGTCAGGTTTGATGCAGATGTGTCGGCCGTCCTTCGCTTTGTACTCAAACCCAAACTCCACCAACACGAACGCCATCTCCTCCTCCCCGCTCCGGTGGAAGCCCGGTTACTTTGGTGGCAGCTCTAACATGTTGGAGCTGCAAAATAGAGGAAACGCGATGCCAGAATGAGTTTCAAAATGAAAATGTCAACAAGTAGTACACAGTTCGCTCTCCCACACTTCCACCTACCGAGACGAGTTTCTGTTTTTGCCCCGCTTTCTGCTGACAACATGCACGTTTCACGTTGTGGCCACAAAATTCTATTAGTTTTAATGGGATTTTAAACGCTGCCGCATAAATATGTTTCCATCTGAGGCGCAGATCGTAGCACTGGCTGCAAGTTTGCAGTTGTTGTAGTGTGCAGCCTCTAAAGAGCGATTGCTTTTAATTGTCATTGTGAGAGCTTAGAACAATACAAAGAAGAATATTGTTCAGTACTACAAAGTGCAGCTGGTTAGTTTATCACAATGTTGTTAAATATGGAGTGTCGGACAAAACGTGGCAGGGATGTGATCGCTTTCGCAGACTTCTCTAAGGTCAGGCGAGAGCAAAGAGGAACAGGTTGGCCGAAAATACAAAGAGCCTGTTTACTCAAAATCAACCAAAGCGTATGTGCAAAAAAAAAAAAAAAAAAAAAAAAAAGATGATCATGTCCTGTAGTCACAGGACATGATCATCCATACGGTCCTATGTATAACAAAACCAGTGACCAGTGAAGCCGCCTGTCTTTCCACAGAAGCTTGGAGGAACTGGAATTAGGGAACAGGACTAAGAGGGCAGAAAAAGAGAGGCGTCTTAAGAGAGCTGTGCATAAACAAAGGTGTGCAATCCTCAATGAAGTGTTGCAATATTGTAAACAACAAATCATGTTTGCTTTTACTGCTGCTATGCCATTATACACTACTTGGTGTTGATCTCAAAATACATTGAGTCCATTCTTTGTTTGCATTTTCAGCATGGCGACTGTATTCATATCCAACGAGGTGGAAATACCTTTGCATGGCATCACATGAAGTGATGTTACGGACTGATTGGGCCTCACAAGATTATTCAGTTTTGGGGGTTTTTTTCTCCTGCAATCCTAGTTTTGGCCGATTTGTTCACTCAACAAATAATAAAACTACAGCCGATGATGTATCATCAACTTGAGGGTAAATGTTTCGACCTCAAAAGGAATTATGTAACATAACTCGTGCCAATGCTTCTGCAGCCTTTTTGCTTTATAAGGGATATTTACTATTGTTTTGATTGGATTTGCATGTTTCTGCATTTACAGCTTCACCTTTTTGGATGGTTTTTCCTTACATTGTTTGACGACTTACTTCTTGCCTTGGTGCTTGATTTAATCTAAAGAATGCGGATTAACAAGGCAAGCCGAGATGGAAGATTCACTCTCCGTGCACAGGAGACGTACAGGAAGTCGCCTGCAAATGCAACCTTGAACTAAACTAACAAACAGACACAAACAGCAGAATGTAAAGTGCTCGGCCACAAAACAGGAAGCCTGCACCAACCTTGGCTCGGCATCAGTGCGACGTCATCTGGCAATCTCAGTTTGTCTTTTTTTCCCCCACCCTCTGCATTTAATTCATTAAACACTCGACATATTCGGGGTCTTTACTGCCCTCCTGGAGTAAAAACAGAGGTAGAAATAACAGTGTAAATGAAAAACAAGATCAACTAATATGAGGAGTATGAAAATCCTGAAGAAAAAGATAAGATACATTCAGGACAGCAGGTACTTTACAAAGAACTCTGAGTTGATTTCAAAGATAATTCCTTCTAAAAATCCCTCTCAGTTTGATATATTAGTATCGTTTCACACGGGTCCCTCAGCAGTTGCAGCTTCAGTGAAGTGGAATAAAACAGAAAAAGGTTTCCTTCTGGAATCAGAAGCCTTGAGGATCACTTGCATGTCTAATTGTCTCTACTTGCCTGCAGTTGTGATTTCTTTACGTTTCCTCGTGATCAGACGAATCTCTGACAGGAAACAGCCTCTGTATCCAAACAAACTGAGATGTGGAGATGTAGAGCCCCGAACCTGCTGCTCACAAGTACTGCTTCTGCTCGACTGGCTGATTTCCTGTTCTGTGTGCCTTTATCGAAAGAGACCAACTGTGAAACATCAGAGCTCTGAAAGCCACACGAAATGGGAAGTCTCAATTTACCCACACTTCCCAGTGAATACTTGGCATTGGCGTGTAAATTCTTTTTACGGCAGCATGCGGACTTGGATTAGGTGGCGTGCCGTTGAGTCAGTGTGACGGAGCAAAATAGTAGCATTTCTTTAACAGAGCAGACGCCATAAAAGTGTTGTGGTTGGAACAGGAGAGAAAACACTTGGTTTGTGATTAAATAACAAGATAACAGTTTTAAACAATACCAAAAGGGAAACATAACTGAATAACTTAGTGAGACTGCTAACTGATGGCACCATGAATGTAAAAATAGAAATCACTAAAAACCACATGAAACCACATAAAACAATTAATATCTGTTTATATCACAATTGAACTGTATCTGTGTTGACGATCAAATACGCCCTCTGCTGGTGAACAATAGTCTTTGTTTTGAACTAAAACGATTTACATTTTGTCCTCTTAAGATTTGGTCCCTTAGAAATTTATTTTGGTTTCAAGTCAAAAATTATATTTTAATGTTAGACATAGATTATTTGAGTCAACACAAAACATGTTCAGGCCGTAAACAAATATAATTAATGAATATAAAAGCAAAACAATATATTAGTTAAATGTACAACAACCTAACACAAAAAGTCAAATAATATTTTGTCGCTTTCTGTCATAAAGAAATTAGGGGAAAAAAATTGGATTTTCAATATCCTCAGTTTGCTTATTCTTTAATAAATAATCTTTAAAGTAAATTAGCGTTTCATTTGTTTGACCCAGTTTTCACGCAAACATTGAAAATCACATCATGAACTTTTCTTTCTTTAAAAGCATGTAAACACATTACGATGAAAGTTAATTGCTTTTTCATTTCACAAGTTGAGGAGCCCTGCCGTCGGCAGGGCATCAAAAAATTAGGTGAAACTCATGTTGTTCCTCTCCACGGAAATCTTTAGTAAAAGGCGAAAGATTTATACGATCTGAAGAGAAACATGAGTGCATGACGCTAACTGGGCTCCTCGAGTCTTTATACTCCAGCATATAACTCACACTGACGGTAGCGACTAACCTAAACATCCAACCACAAAAATCAGACTTTAACCAGGAACATAATACAGGAGGATGAAAAATAACGTTAAATAATATTAATATCACCACATAATGCGCCAGAAAAAGAGTTCGTATAGCAAATATTAACGTAAATAAACTGTACCTACATCGCGCAGTGCATGATGGGTATTACTACTCTTTCGTCACAGCTACACGATGCCTAACAAAGTTTTGCTAGCTCATTAATTAAAACAAATCGGCGACTTGTTCGAAAACCTAGAGACAAACATGACGATTAAAACAAACTGGGAAAACGTTTATTTTAAATAAAAAAAAAACTTCTATAGACGGTTTCTAAATTTAACGCATGCGCCGTATAGACGCGTATTTAAAACGAAAGATGATATTCTTAAATCGTGCATGCATGAAAAAAGTGTGAAAAATAACGCCAAGCTACGATACGAACTTCTAATTCTAGTATAGTACTATAATTCTAATACTTCTTAAATTCATTTTATCCCGTCCGACTGTCGCCTATATTCTGATACTGATGAAGCATGAAGCAGAAAAATGTTCACTCGAGATTCAAAAACGATTCTGCAAAATCTAGGATGGTCAGAGAATAAATGCATTAAGGAGCGACTTCCTCTATCTGCTTCTGATTTTGTGGATTCACTTAAGCTTTTTGAGGGGATTTTTACTCATACTTCTGTATTTCCATTTTTTACTACTTTCATTTGGAAAAAAACAATGAACAATAAACCTATAATTAACATGTAGTTAAACAATTTGTGTGAGATAAAATGGATAGCTCCCCTTGCCCCTCCATCTACTGTATAAATCATTTAACCAATACAAAATTAAAGACTCCTAACACTGCTCTTTAATGCAAAGTACACAATGAGCAAAACTAAAACTACTTAAACTGAGTAAATCCTTTAACCGGATGTGATATTGGATAAACAGAATGGACCTCTGAACATTACTTATATGGACAAAATACAAACCGACAAAAAAAACATAACTTCTTGTGTAGAACATTTTTTATTATTTTGCCTGTCACTATATCATGAGGCTCTGACTGAAACTAAATATCTGTGGCTCATTTTAAGTTTTGTGACAAAAGAAAAAGACAATTAAATATAACACACTGAACATTACCTTGCACAGATAACAAAGCTAAACATATTTAGTGCTATTAAAATTTACAGAATAAGATTCTGGCAGGACATTCTGTGTAGTAAACATTTTAAATTAGCTGTGTAGGATTGCTAGTTTTATGCAGTGTCAGTGGCACGCTGAATTCAGTCCAGTTATATTCCAGGCTCCGTTTTGTCAACACTTCAGAGCCAATGTGAAACAAGTTCTCCTGATTTGGATTAAAAAGCTGATATTATGGATTATTACTGAGCAGCGAGGACAGGAAATTACCTTCATCTTGGTCCACAAACCCCAGAGGGATAAGATTGGCTTAATGTTAGCATTTGGTCTTCCATTTAAATACAAATATAATCTGAATTCCAATATAAAAATAAGGCATAGTTCAGTAAAAAAAAAAAAAAAGAAGAAGAAAGCTTCCCTTGTCTAATTTTTTACTGTACAAAAAGAAAAAAAGATAATTTCTGTAAATGTTCAGAATTTCATAATGAAGGCTGCAGAGTGAAGACGCGGCAGCTTTTTGCTTCTTAAGACATCACAGAAACATAAAAACGGTTATTTAAAAAGTGTCTTTGTGCAGCTCCATGGTTTCTTTCTTCTCGTTTAAATAGCCTTGACATCGATGAGACTACCATGCTGGGTCCCCTGCCGCAGGGTCTTGATTCCCTGTAGCTTTCGACCGTGAAGAGTGAAGCGAGACCAGGTGACCAGCTGGAGCAGGGCACAGGTGATAGGCACAAACACCAACAGGTAGAAGCAGCCCAGACGGAGAGGCGGAGTCCCTGAGTCGGACACAGAATCCTTCATGGGTGTCCTCTGGAAAATATCGTAACCTGGGGAGGAGAAAGACAGAGTGAGGAAAACAATTCTTTTGTTGTCCACAAAGTGCAAATTTCAATCTGAGAATGTTCAGAAATTCTGGAAAGATCTTTTAAAATACCAGAAAGAGAGACAAACAAAATGGATGCATTATAGTTTAACTAGAATCCTTGTTTAAGTAAGAAGTACTTAATGGAAAATTTTTGTTTTACTTGAACAAAGCTGACTTTCTAAAGTTCTAAAAAGTTTTAAGTATGTGCTGAATAATATCAGAGTTAATGACATGTGTCTTCTTTATTGCGTCATTGCTACTTGTATTCAGGATTTTAAAAAGCAATGAAAAGATTTACTTTACTAATTGCTAAAACAAGCATAAATGGTAAATATCTGGCCAGGATGTATACATTTTATTTTATCCTCTGCAAATTCTGACCTTTTTTTTTAAAGCTTAACCAAACAAATAGCCCTAAATTAATCTACATTACCCTGAAGCTGTATGTAAAATGCTTTCGAGGAAACGTGTATACCTGTGTAAACGCAGAGCAGCCAGGTGCCAATGAGTGGGGCGAATGTCTGGCCCGGTTTGGTCAACAGGTTGACCATCCCAAAGAGGAGAGCCGAGGCGGCCTGCTGACGTCTGTTCACCACATAGTCCTCGTCGACCAGATCAGAAATGACCAACTTCAGCAGCTTGCAGGTGCCCTCTGTGAATACCCGGTTACTGAAACGAAGAGGCGAACAATTAGAAACCTGGCAGGAATCCTTTAGGCGCGAATGCTGCAGGTCAATCTTTCCTTGCGTGTGCAGCTCTAAAAGTATTAAAACCAAAAACAAGCAGAGCAAAAAAAAAAAAAAAAGCAGAAACTGTCAACGATCAACTGTCGGCCATACCTAGCAATGAAGATGCACAGCAGATAAATGTGGTCAGGCCCTGCAAGCAGCATAACCACACTAAGTCCCAGTTTGAGCATAAACAGCCAACGGATAACCTGGTAAACGCCGTAACGCTGGCACAGTGTCAGGAAATACAAGTTGTTGAGGTGGGGGGCAACGTAAGAGATCCCTGTGAGGGAGCAGAAGCAGAGCTGCATCAAAGAAAAAAACATAAACTGTGCAAAGAAATAGAAAAATTATAATGTGCTTGGTTTTAACTAAAGGTAAGGTAAAAGCTTACTAACAGCACCAACTAAAATAGGCATGCCGAGTGAGAAATAAAAATACATGTTTAATAGGTTTTATTATGGCAGACCAACACAAAGTGGTTCATAATCAAAAGAGGGAAAGATTTTCTTCTGACATTTATATTGAGCATCACCTGGGCAAATACTTGCTTAAACTGAGTAAATCCTTTAACCGGATGTGATATTGGATAAACAGAATGGACCTCTGAACATTACAGATATGGACAAAATACAAACCGATACTGTTTGCAGTGCAGTGGAAGCACTTTTAGGCACATCTCCAGCTTTCCACATGTAGAGGCTGACATTTTATTTTGATATATATATATATATACAGTTAGGGCCAGAAATATTTGGACAGTGACACAGGTTTTGTTATTTTAGCTGTTGACAAAAATATGTTCAGAAATACAATTTATATATAATATGGGCTGAAAGTGCACACTCCCAGCTGCAATATGAGAGTTTCCACATCCAAATCGGAGAAAGGGTTTAGGAATCATAGCTCTGTAATGCAGAGCCTCCTCTTTTTCAAGGGACCAAAAGTAATTGGACAATGGACTCCAAAGGCTGCAAGTAACTCAAAAGGCCTTTCCCTCGTTAACCTGTAATCAAGTAAGTAGTTAAAAGGTCTGGGGTTGTTTCCAGGTGTGTGGTTTTGCATTTGGAAGCTGTTGCTGTGACCAGACAACATGCGGTCAAAGGAGCTCTCAATTGAGGTGAAGCAGAACATCCTGAGGCTGAAAAAAAGGAAAAAATCCATCAGAGAGATAGCAGACATGCTTGGAGTAGCAAAATCAACAGTCTGGTACATTCTGAGGAAAAAGGAATTGACTGGTGAGCTTGGGAACTCAAAAAGGCCTGGGCGTCCACGGAAGACAACAGTGGTGGATGATCGCCGCATACTTTCTTTGGTGAAGAAGAACCCGTTCACAACATCAACTGAGGTCCAGAACACTCTCAGGGAAGTAGGTGTATCTGTCTCTAAGTCAACAGTAAAGAGAAGACTCCATGAAAGCAATACAAAGGGTTCACATGTAGATGCAAACCATTCATCAATTCCAAAAATAGACAGGCCAGAGTTAAATTTGCCCAAAAACACCTCAAGAAGCCAGCCCAGTTCTGGAAAAGTATTCTATGGACAGATGAGACAAAGATCAACCTGTACCAGAATGATGGGAAGAAAAAAGTTTGGAGAAGAAAGGGAACGGCACATGATCCAAGGCACACCACATCCTCTGTAAAACATGGTGGAGGCAACGTGATGGCATGGGCATGCATGGCTTTCAATGGCACTGGGTCACTTGTGTTTATTGATGACATAACAGCAGACAAGAGTAGCCGGATGAATTCTGAAGTGTACCGGGATATACTGTCAGCCCAGATTCAGCCAAATGCTGCAAAGTTGATCGGACGGCGCTTCACAGTACAGATGGATAATGACCCCAAGCATACAGCCAAAGCTACCCAGGAGTTCATGAGAGCAAAAAGGTGGAATATTCTGCAATGGCCAAGTCAATCACCAGATCTTAACCCAATTGAGCATGCATTTCACTTGCTCAAATCCAGACTTCAGACGGAAAGACCCACTAACAAGCAAGACCTGAAGGCTGCGGCTGTAAAGGCCTGGCAAAGCATTAAGAAGGAGGAAACCCAGCGTTTGGTGATGTCCATGGGTTCCAGACTTAAGGCAGTGATTGCCTCCAAAGGATTCGCAACAAAATTGAGAAAAAACTTTTTTGTTTGGGTATGTTTATATGTCCAATTACTTTTGAGCTCCTAAAATGTGGA